CCTCAGACGCCATTCCTCGCGGTCCTGGGCGATGTCCTTGAAGTCTTCAACCGGAATGCCAATGGAGGCAAGGTCAGCCTTTGCAACATCCTTCCACCGCTTCCTGGGGCCATGAGGCGGGCGCTTAGCTGGCAGGGCGCCGTACATCAGCTGCAGAGGAATGCGATTTCCCATCCGAGCAACGTGTCCCAGCCACCGGAGCCGGGTCTCTGAACCTTATCGACGATATGCTCAAGGTCACCCCACATGCGACGGACGTGGAGAGAAGAGATTCAGTTGGTGATCTGCCGTCCTCGATCAACTTTCAGCATTTACCTTATATATTGCGCCCCCCCCCCCGCAGGCACGCACACACACACGCATATACATACACACACATACATACACACACAAACCACACACACACACAAACACACGCATACGAACATACACGCACACATACATGGACGATGATGATACGTGTACACACAGATGCATGTGCACCCTAATTCTTTTATGAAGGAACATAGCCATGGACGACAACACAGACATGCCTCAGGCACCAGTAACAGTGTTGCTACTCTGAAGTACAACACACACCAGGGGACATGGGTCAGGTGAAAACCCCCTTGATACAAACACTCAAACTTCAAGGCACACACTCTGTATACATGTACAGAACTGGCGGTCGCCGAAGAACGGAGCGCCGAAAAACGACCAGCTAGAATGTCACTAAGCACAGCATACCAATCGATATACACGGTGACTCAACTGTGCATAGACTGTAATACATGAGAATAAGAAAGGTCTAGGCTACAAGGCTGACCCCCAGTTCTTCGCCGACCGACAGTGCTGTACATATATTATTCTATGTCCTTGTACATGCAGAGGAACACGGCCAGCAAAGCAAGTGCTTGGCGTAGTCCAAGATTGAAATATGCCAGCAAAGCAAGGGTCTGGCGTTGTCCACGATTGAAATATGCCAGCAAAGCAAGGGTCTGGCGTTGTCCACGAGTGACATCTGCCAGCAAAGCAAGGGTCTGGCGTTGTCCACGAGTGACATCTGCCAGCAAAGCAAGGGTCTGGCGTTGTCCACGAGTGACATCTGCCAGCAAAGCAAGGGTCTGGCGTTGTCCACGTTTGAAATCTTCCAGCAAAGCAAGGGTCTGGCGTTGTCCACGTTTGAAATCTGCCAGCAAAGCAATCGTCTGGTGTTGTACACGAGTGAAATATGCCAGCAAAGCAAGGGTCTGGCGTTGTCCACGATTGAAATATGCCAGCAAAGCAAGGGTCTGGCGTTGTCCACGAGTGAAATCTGTGAGCAAAGCAAGGGTCTGGCGTTGTCGACGATTGAAATCTGCCAGCAAAGCAGGGGTCTGGCGTTGTCCACGATTGAAATCTGCCCCATCTCGTACACTCATGCAGCTTACAAATAATCGAGTAGATGAATATTAGATAGGCTACGCTGGACACTCACAAGCATCCAGGAGCACAAACCAGCGAGTGAACGCATGAACACACACACACACACATGCATGAACACACACACACACAAACCCACAAGCATGAACATACACACACATGCATGAACACACACACACACACACACATAAACAAGAACACACACACACAAGCGCACTCGTCCGTAAACACACAAACCGGTTCCGACAGAAGTAGTACCAGAACGTCATAATGTCGGGTTACGGGCAGTATACGCCTAGCCAAAGTGTGGTAGTGGTGAGGCTGAAAATGTAAATAGTGCAAATAATTTCGGCATACCACTATGGTGCTTTACAGCAGGGAAAATCAGCCGGAACAAATGATTGAAAACGTCATGGGCGTTAGCCCGGTACAACTCCGCCTACGCCGCTATTCGCTCAGTGAAATTACAAAATAATAGTTTTAGATTTAGTTTCGTGCTCAATGTGCGATCGGCAGAGCATCTCAAGAAGAGTAAATCAGCCATTATGCTGTGGTTGGTTGTGCTGATTGGCCTGGCAATGAATTTACAGTTCCTCGCATCGTACAGTAATAATCAACGGATGAAAATCAGTGGATGAGGTGGGCACTGAATCTAACGTAAGCCGTGATTGCACAACCTTGTATATGCACACACACACACACACACACACACACACACACACACACACACACACACACACACACACACACACACACACACACACACACACAGACGCACACACACACACACACACAGACACACGCTCCGGTGCGGGAAGCAAACACCCTCCTCAAGTTGCAATCCGAAAAATAATAAGTTAGAGAAATAACACTAAGAGCAACAACAGTGAAATTTACAAGTGTGAATTGTAACAATCAAAGCGAGAAATGAACAAAGGAGAAAGGAAGGAAAGACAACGTGATAACACATAACAGCAGTACATTACGCCTAGAACATTAACGGCCAAGCTTGGCCGCACTAAACACGACACGTTACTTGAACAATTTCAACCCAATTATACTATCTTTCTTCACACACAAATTAGGCTTGTACAGACGCTGATAGATAGCTTTCACTGTTGTTGCTCTTAGTGCTATTTCTCTAACTCAGATTTTCTATAATAGTTCAAATTTTTGGTTTCAGTGTCCTTTAGTATAACGACGATTCCTGATGAGTGTTGTATGAAAACTTGTTAGAATCCATATATTTTTTCCCTATACCATTTGAAACTCGGATGTTGAGCCATAAATAAATGTGGAAGAGAAAAAGACATATGGATACGAGTTAAGAGTAACTCTCCATCACTGTAACATGATACTATATACAGTCAGAAAGTGCAATAGCTAGGCACAAAACTGACAGAGTACTGAAACATTCGACGTCCTGACACCTAGCTTCAACACATCTCCGTAGCGCTAACCGACAGCCTTCCAACTTGGAAGGTTCAAGGTTATGGAAAAGACCATGTGTGTTGAAGCTAGGTGTCAGGACGTCGAATGTTTCAGTACTCTGTCAGTTTTGTGCCTAGCTATTGCACTTTCTGACTATACCATTTCTTCATATTTTCATCGTTTTATTGCACATCGTCTCCACCGTTTTTACATTGCATGAATAAAGTACACAAATGTCGGTTCAGCTAGTTTTATTGATTACGGTTATCAAATTATTGTCTCCTCGAAGTAATTAGTACAAGGTCTTTTTTGAAGGTTCGATGGACTTCTCGTGTGCTCTGGATGGCAGTCGTGAGTCAGTCAAGTGTCAAGTAAAGTCGGCGGAATAGCGCGAGCTCCAGTGTGCGGAGCAAACCCTTTCTTACAAGGTTTCTTTTGTTATTGTTTTTCTCATTTTGAATTGAGTTTATTGATTGAGTTCTTTTTAATTACAATGTACATAAAAATTTGTTTGAGTCTGTACACTACTCACTACTGTTATAACTCAGCTCACTAGAACAATGCATGCCATTCTCGAGAAGTTTGTTTCACGCACTCCGCGACTCAGCGCGTCCCTGGAATATCACATAGGCGTGACAGATAATTGTAAGTATCGTGACAGACTATGAAAAAAGGGAAGACCACAGGCACAGTGCAATGGAAACACATTACAATTTTGTAGTCACTACATGTACCATACGTACACAACCTCCAAGTACAAGTACTCAGTTACAGTCAGTATCGCCTATAGCGTTGGTGTTTGATTTTGAGCATTTTATCACTATAAGCGATATAATTATCACTATGACCGATACTGCATGCAATGTATGCGAGCGGGGTGTCAAACGACTCAGGGCGCCGTGCACATACGCACTGCATAGGTGGCTACAGCTCATGTCACACAACATCAGCATTTCCTCACGATGGAGGCATATTTGGCAACTTGTACAAGCAGAACTCACCAAACAACACTGGACAAGTTAGTTCTTCACGAAGAAGTAACACCCTGTTTTCCTCGGGCACAACTTGATTTTACATCAATCACTATAATCGATGCGAAAATAATGTAATAAAGGTCTTTTGAAATAAAAATTTGATCACTATAGGCGATATATTACAATAGACGATTATTACTATACGCGATAACTGTGTATACTTAGTTATGGCAAATGAAAATGAATTTGAGAAATTGATCACTATATCCGGTATATTACTATAGCCGCCAACCTTATAGGCGATACGTACTGTACATTGTAGTGCATGAGCAAGTACACATGGACAGTGTGAGTGTTTCCCCCACGCCATGAGAATAAGAACGGTCTAGGCTACAACTAAGGCTAGCCCACAGTTCTTCGCCGACCGACAGTGCTGTACAGATCAGGGGCGTAGGAAGCAGTTTAATATTGGTACGGCGAAATTGTGAGAGAGGGAGGTCGGGGGGTCGTCCCCCGGGATTTTTTTGAAAATTGGGCCTAAAAGGCCATATTTTAATGCTACAGAATAATAATTATGAGAATTAAGAATATGCATGCTGATGATACACCGCATTGTCGATGTAAAACATGGTACCTGTACAAGAGTCGACAAGCCATCAACAAGGTTGAAATGTTTGGTTTTTCTTAAATCGAAAATAATTAATTATTATTGGTCCGGCGACCGCCGGGCCTGCCGGACCAGTTCCTACGCCCATGCAGATAATATTAGATGTCTTTGTACATGTACAGGAACACGGCCAGCAAAGCAAGGGTCTGGCGTTGTACACGAGTGAAATAATTTGCCAGCAAAGCAAGGGTCTGGCGTTGTACACCAGTGAAATATGCCAGCAAAGCAAGGGTCTGGCGTTGTACACGAGTGAAATCTGCCAGCAAAGCAAGGGTCTGGCGTTGTACACGAGTGGAATATGCCAGCAAAGCAAGGGTCTGGCGTTGTACATGATTGAAATTTGCCAGCAAAGCAAGGGTCTGGCGTTGTACACGAGTAACATCTGCCAGCAAAGCAAGGGTCTGGCGTTGTACACGAGTGAAATATGCCAGCAAAGCAAGGGTCTGGCGTTGTACATGATTGCAATCTGCCAGCAAAGCAAGGGTCTGGCGTTGTACACGAGTGACATCTGCCAGCAAAGCAAGGGTCTGCAGGGGCGTACATAGGGCGGTTCCCGGGATGCCCGGGAACCAGTAAAAAAACTTCGATATGGGTACAGAGAAGTTTTTGGTCCAGGCCCAGCGCTCGCAGTGCGCTATCGATAGCAGCGCAAGTGCATGCAGTGCGAGTCCGCCTGACGGTCCGAGGACGGTGACTGTAGCCCAGGTGTGAAAGTCGTAACAGCGTACTGAACTGGGTTCAACTGAACTAGGTACATCGCCGGATTCCTCGATCTCAGAGTCAAATTTTCCTTTGCAGTTTGTTTCGACAAAGTTGGTCGTGTTTCGAACGATGCTTTCGCTTTGTGGAAAAGAAAAATGAAGCGTCGACATCCAGAGGGCCAGAGCTCTATTCAGAGCTATTTTGAGCAGCAGGCCGAAAGCATGTAGCCAGTGCTAGTGGCAAAGGTCACGCGATAGATGAGAATGCAGACGCACCTGACTTGCAAGCGAAGTCTGCATGCAACGAGCAGCGCTGCGGAAAAAATTGTCGGCGAAGCTGTAGAGCGACCGCTGTTGGAAGCTGCTGGATCATCCAATACTTACTTTAGTGACATGGGAGTGTGTTGGAAGGGATATTCTGAACGTCGACGTCCACAGTGGAATCCAGTTCCCCGAAATTTGCCGGACACGGAAAAGATCTCCGTCGTCGATAATCATTGTGCGCCACCGAAGGCGAAGGATTTCATTTCCTGTGCGTGTCCAGACGGATGGGAAACAGCGCCACTTTCAACTATCCTTGTTATTAGAGGAGTTACCCTGGGTAGTCTTTTGACCGGCGTGCAATGGTGGCTTCTGCTTGCCCTGTGTGATGTTTGCTCCAGATGATTGGAAACTTAGGCAGCTTTCAAAACTGCATGCAACCGTCATGCTGAACAAAACATCCATAAAACGTAAAGTCAAAAGTGCGTAGCAATGACATCGTCCAGCAGCTTGTGGATGTTAATTTCACCCAGTCTGAGAAGAAGATGCAGAAACTCCGGCCGTGGGATACGAAAAATAGCACTTCAATTGAATTTGTGTGGAATTTTGGTTCATCAGGTGGCATGGGAACCACTCCTGGAGGCGAGCGGCGTACGCCCCTGGTCTGGCGTTGTCCACGAGTGAAATTTGCAAGCAAAGCAAGTGTTTGGCGTTGTCCACGAGTGACATCTATATTTGCCAGCAAAGCAAGGGTCTGGCGTTGTACACGAGTGAAATCTGCCAGCAAAGCAAGGGTCTGGCGTTGTACACGAGTGAAATATGCCAGCAAAGCAAGGGTCTGGCGTTGTACACGAGTGAAATATGCCAGCAAAGCAAGGGTCTGGCGTTGTACACGAGTGAAATCTGCCAGCAAAGCAAGGGTCTGGCGTTGTCCACGAGTGAAAGCTGCCTTGTCTCGTACAGTCCTGCAGCTTACAAAATTTAATAATTGAGTAGATGAAATTAGATAAGCTACGCTGGCCACTCACACGCATGCAGGAGCACAAACCAGCGAGTGAACGCATGAACACCATTGGACCATTGGACGCCCATCGCCGGAGGGGATGATAGCGATGCTACAGCAGAACACACACGCACCCACCCACACGCATGAACACACACACAGACGCATGAACACACATGCATGAACACACGCACACACACAAATGCGCACGTACACACACGTACACTCGTTCGTAAACACACACTAGTTCCGACAGAAGTAGTAACAGAGCGTCATAATGTCAGGTCACAGAAGGTACAGGCCTAGCCAAAGCTTGGTAGCGGCGAGGCTGCAAATGTAAATAGTGCAAATAATGTCGGCATACCACTATGGTGCTTTATTGGAGGGAAAATCAGTCGGAACAAATGATTGAAAGCGTCATTGGCTAACCACTACAACTCAGCCTACGCCGCTATTCGCTAAATGAAATTACAAAACAACAGATTTAGATTTAGTTTTGTGCTCAATGTACGATCGGCAGAAAATCTCAAGAATAGTAAATCAGGAGTAATACTTTGGTTCGCTGTGCTGATTGGCCTGGCAATCAATTTACAGCTCCTTGCATCGTACAATAAAAATCAGTGGATGAGGTGGGCACTGCGTCTAACATAAGCCGTGAGTGCACAACTCTGTATATGCACACACACACACACACACACACACACACATACACACACACACACACACACACACACACACACACACACACACACACACACACACACACACACACACACACACACACACCTACACACACACATACACACACACACGCATGCACGCACTCACACACACACACACACACACACACACACACACACAAACACATACACACACCTACGTACACACACACACACGCTGAGAGCTAACAAAACATTGCGAGTCATTCACTAGTACGGAGCGGAAAATGGTAAATTTGACATTTTTGTTTAAATTGGTACGACAACAAAAGGAGGCTCAAGTTACAAGTCAAGGCGACGGAAAAGCCCGAGCTCCAGTGCAGGGAGCAAACATTTTTCTCAAGCTACAGTCCAAAATTAATAATCCCAAATGCTCGATTATCGTCTCTAATGCTGGTTTCTCTTGTGCCACTAGTTCTGGAGAAAAATGAGAGAATGCCAAACTGCGACCTATGTTTCAACATACCGAACGCCTAAGGAAGATCGGTAAGAGTTCTTATCGAGAAGACGTCGGTAGCCATCCGTACACCACGTTCGTGGACCGTGCCGTATCACAAGTTGTTGGAGTGATGTGTGTGAGTTGACGGCACGCAAGAATGCAGACACGTCGTGGTCTGATAGCGCCTCCTGCATATCCGAGGATACACGGAAATTGACGAGCAACTGCACTATATCAGGCCATGCACTGCGGAGATGATCTGTCAGGATGTCAATGCAATGAAGCAATCCTGGCTTGCGGACAGACATGAATAAGGACGATAAGTGTGTCGAGAGACGCAGGGCCTTGCAGATCGCGCGCATACCCTGATCACCAATGCCCGAGCACGTGGCAAGACTGAACGTGTTGAGGCAGCGAACATCGGCAAGTGCCCAAGCCAGCAGCATTGCACTGTTGCGGTCGCCATGGTCGGTCGTTGTAGCTCTTCCTCTGTGTTCAGCATGCGGCGGTTGTGTGCCGACCGGGTGCGAGGGTATGCTGGTACATGTATCAGTGAGATCACACTGAGCCAGATTGATCTCCTGCAGATGCATGTGTGATGACTTCACTACTGACGTGATCTGCTGCCAATGATAGGTACAGGCTTCGATGTGTAGCCGCGTGATATTCTCACACTTTAGAAGTGATAGTGGAAATTGTTTAGTAGTACGTTCCCATTTACGAAGGCGCACACCCTTCACGCTCGTGCAGTGCGCATCGACGGCGACATCATAAGCACGGATGACGGCCGGATGGTCATGGCCATTGATCACTAAAATGCTCTGGAAAGCGGCAGCTAGGCTGGACATGGGTTGACGGTCATCGTCATGGTGACGGCAGCGCTCCGCATAGCTTAGCACTGCTAGCTCTAACTTACTGCGTGAGACAAGAGTGATTTCCTTGTGGAATGGACTCTTCATCGGTGTTGGATCACCACCGCCCATAGGAGTATGAAGAGACTTTGCGAGGACGTCTTTGCCCATGCATCGTAAAGCATCAGCCAGTGTATCGTACGTTGCATCAGGGCAGCGCTCCACCCATGTCAGCAACGTCACTCTCAAGAACTGTTCACCGCTATCAGGTCGGCCGTACTTGCTACGGTTCTCCACGTAACGCACACTGCTTCTTCCGTTCAGGCTGTCGGAGAGAAGCTCTTCTGCGAGACGGCGGCCTTCCGAGTCGTCCAAACTGGCAATAAGCGCCTCAAGCATATCAAGTGGGAAGACAGCTTGTTCCGCGGTTGCATCATGCGGGTCGTCCCATTCCTCGTCATCGTCGTTTATAGCCGCTCCTCGTCCGTCACAGGTCTTGTGACGAGTTAGAACACCGTTGATCAGACAGTCAGCATTCGCTTTGTCCAACTGGGCTGTCAAAAGCATCCAGAAAGTCCGTAAGTGGTCGCTTTCGGGGCCCAGTAACTCCACCAAACGGACAACGCGTGCCGGCGTTGTTGCCTTCTTCACAGCCACGTAGCGAGCCGCCAACGACTCTTGTAACGTCAAATGGCTGAACATCCACAGTCTGCCGTCGTCGCAACTGCTACTGTCGGCTAGCACGAGAAGGCCGAGAGCTTTAGCTTCCCTGGTGATCGCTCGCATCTGCATATCAGCATCGGTGAAAATGAGTCGCCGTTCAATGAGCATGCTGAAAGCGATTTCCCCAAGATCTAGGATAAGAGCTTGGACGACTGGAGAAATCTCATTCCAACTCTTGTACGACTCACCAGTATTACGCTCGGCAACTTGGATGATCATCATTTCGAAGATGTCCGACAGGCATTTTGGCAGCATGCCATTGCGGCAGTGGAACATCTTGCATGTCTGCATGGCTAAGAATGGCGTGGCCATCATACTAGCAAGGTTTTGGTCCCGCCGTACTGCCGCTACCAGTGCAGATGCTTCGTCCACTGACCTCAGCACCTTGCCAATGTATTCGTCAACATCTTCTTGCCGAAAACCGACAAGTTCCACTCGCCGATCAAACTGCTTTTTGTCACTCAGGCTCAGCAGTTCTACACACGGCCGTGACGTCACCACCAGACGCATTCCCCTCACTTTTGACCCGTTGATAATGTCCTGTACAAAGCCGCTGCAGTCGCCAAGGCGGATCTCGTCAAGGCCATCGAGTACAATGCATACTCGGTGAGCTTGTTGGCGAACAAAATCATCGATGCTTTTGCGCTCCTCGCTCGTAAACACTCCTAGCTCTCCCACGCCAAGCAGAGCACATATGTCCGTTGCCTCTCTGACCTCCCTGTTCCGTAGCTTCCGTGCTATCACCAAGTCAAACGATGTCCACATTTCATTCTGGGCCCATTTCAATGGAGCCACTCTAGTAAAGACGAACGTCTTGCCACAGCCCGCGCTGGCAACAGCCAATATGCGATACGTTCGACCTCCGCTGGAGAACTCCAGCATCTTCTCATTGTCCAGATCGAAGAGACTTTCAATGGAGATGTTCTCCAAACTATCGGCTGCCTTTGTGAAAACGTGTTCAACGCGCCACATGTCCCCTGTTGAGTCAAAGCTCGTATCGGAAAACTCCCTCTGGAGCTCTGGCCTAGATCATCAGTCGTACTTGTACATCTGAAACGCTTGGCTCCTTCATCCCTTCCTCCACCATGCCTTCGCCCATGTCCACGGTTGCGCCGACATATTCATCCACTAACAAACGTTTCAGTCTGCGCACTGCCTCGGGAATGCCGTTGCTTGCTTCGGCGATGCAAGCAATGGTTTCCGTGCAAGTCGCCTCCTTGTTACCGGACTCGCTAGCACTTCTCTCATCGCGTCCCGTCTGGGAGAGAGCTGATAGTGCTCTGCGAACCTCAGCGTTCTCTTTGCCTGCCATGACTGCAAGCTAGAGACGTGACAACTACAGTTACTGAAGCTAGCGAAAAAGACACTATTTTCAGCTCACTCTCATTGTGTTCCTATTTTTTTTCATGCTCTGTTACTGTGTGCTATTCGAGGGAGCTGCCGGAGCTCCGGGCCGCTAAGTCATCTCAGTGTCAGTACTAGCCTACTACTACTAGGTCATACAAGTCGGACCTCACTATAAGTATAACGTAATCTCTGGGGCATGTAGGTGCTGTCTGTCTGACTGCTTGCAGTGCCTGGTGCATGCAGGACACTGCAGGTGTAGACCCGGTTGGTTAGAAATCCTAGCGCAGACAGTTACATGATTGTATTGTGTCGTATTGAGGTCAGACTTGTAATCATGGTGATAACCCACTGTACTGAAGTCGTGAAGACTGAAGTACTGACAAGTGACAGCTGAGTTTGTGCACTTACACTACTCAGCGCACTAGAACAATGCATTCCATTCGCCTGAAGTTTTTTCACGCAAGTCTGGCATACGAGCCATCTTCCAACTAACCCAGAAGGGCCTCCACTGCTCCCCTATTTGTCAGACTATCAACGCCTCAGCTCCACCAGTTGTACGTGCAACGTCTGCTTCTCTTCGTCTTCCGCTGCCTTCATGGCAGAGCCAGCGCACTGTTCACATCCTACTACTCCCTCATTGCCACGGGTACGGATGTGGACAGAAGTTATGTCACGCGTGGTCAGGTCAGCCAGCTGCTCAGAGTGCCGTTCCTACCTGGTCCCTCAGGCCGTAGCTCTATCGCCTTTGTTGGCAGTACCACATGGAACTCTCTCCCTGCTGATATTCGCGCTTGCGACGTAGATCTACGCCACACGTTTCAAGCATTGCTGTCTGGCTATGACCTTATCTCCCTCCTCAACTAGCTCTCCGATGTTGTGCCTACTATGTATTCTTCACATATTCTGCCTGAACAGATGCTCATCAATTACGTTCTTGTCCTCTATTCTAGTCCAAATCCTGCCTTGCCCATGCATGACTCTCATGCAATGACCGTACTAAATAGTCTATAGAACAAGAATATTTGATATCATACTTCTCTCATCAACTACTTCGAAGTATGATAATACCAATGTCATACCCCTTCCCCTTCATAACATTATTTTAAACTACTGGTTTCTTTCCTTTCATTTCATCTTCTTTTCCGTTCCTTTCTTCTTCATAAACATTTTAAACATTTTCATCACAATTATTGTGAGAGCCGTGGGCCAAAGGCCCCGGTGAGAAGGCAGTCTTGCCTGTTCCTATGGTGAAGTAAAATAAAGAAACACAACAACAACAACACTAGGCCCGGCTACTCCGCGCATCCGGGGTACCGGGTATGTTATCCCTCGAATATCACACGTGGCACAGGCGTGACAGATAATTAGTGGCGTGACCAATGCCAACGGTGATAGACTAGACTATGTCTACATGGTCTATGGAAAAAGGAAGACCACATGCACTGTCTAGTGCACACTACGCATGCACAGAGAGAATGAGCTGAAAATAGTGTTAAAAAAAAATCGCTAGCTTCAGTAAGTACTAGCAGTAGTAGAACGCCGCTGCCGCGTCTCTATGGTCGGAAGTGGATTCGCCATCTCTTTGACGCAGAAAGTGCAAATAATTATTAGTATGGAAAGGATGCAAACAGCAAGAAACAAGGATTGTGCGTCTCCTTTGCGTCTCTGTTGCTTTTCACTGCTTCTATTTGACATTCTCTTTATTTACTGAGTTGTTGTTGCTGTTGATTTGCAACTCTTTTGTTTTCCCTCTTCTAAGGGCCTGTCCACATTAGGTAATAAAAACGGCGTGCCGTTTCAGAGTACGTGACGTACTCTGAAACACGCGGAAAACACGCGGTGCGCTGTCCACACTTCGCTCTGTCACCTGTACCACTACGTGTACCTGTTCATTTTTGTCCGTGGATGCACTACTGGCAGACACACAAGTGACTTGTAGTTGTAGCGTGTAGACCATTGTAGACCAGGCAAGCACTCCCTGGCTTGGTCTAGACCAGGGAGTAGTAAAATACAGGGAGGTGACACGCCACTAATCGTGATTTTTGATGGGTGCCTCGCGCTTGTTTTTTTTCTTTCGCAAAAAAAATGATCTGCTGAATCAATCTTGAGTATTTGTCGAAGAACTAATTCCATGAAAAGGTCTATCCATCTCATGGAACAGCATTTGTTTTGCTCTTGTGATACATCTGTGTCATCGCCATATGGAAAGGTACCACCCTTCCGAAATTCGTCCCGATCGACGGCATGGAGCAATAGAACGAAGTTGATTTGCTTGAGAACAATACGTGTACGATTGGAGATGAAAAGCGAGTGCACCGATTTCGAAGTCGAAAAAATCTCTAGGACACCACACGATCGGCACTAATTTCTCCTCAGTTGTGATCAACCAGTACTTCTCTACCTTCTTTGTGATGATGAGCATTTCATATTATGGTATGCTAGAGATTCGGGAGTTCACTTTTCGGAATGAAATGTTCCTAAGTTTGTCAAGGATTGAAATGCGGGCTACGTCCTCGTAAACAGCTTGTATCGACACAGGAAAAATCTACGGCACGCAGGGATATCTCCCAAAGTGATACCAGTCTTGCTGGACTTCTATCCTGACATAGTGGTAGTTTGGTCGACTACCAAACTTTGTGAAGGCAGACAATTGTTGGAAATTCTCAGCGCTGAGTTTCTACGGGCTGCAGTAGGAGTCTCTTTGGCGGTAGGTATTTTACTACTCCCTGATCGAGAGAATCCTGATCCGCGCGCGTGTCTACACACTTCGGTACCCATAGTACCCCAATCTCACCCGGCGGGTGAAAACGGTGCTGAGGCAATCGTCAAACTGGCCGTACATGCTCGTGTCACCTCCCTGTATTTTACTACTCCCTGGTCTAGACCTACCCAGCTAGCTACAAAAACGAGTGGCGGCCCAGCAATGGCAGTACTAACGCCGAGCGCAAGGAACATCACCCTGAACTCTGTTCCAGGTACGGAAATTATTTGGCCACACTCTCGCGGCAGCGCAGCGTCACGGTCGAGGCCCGCTATAGCATCGCTTGATGAACTAATGGTTGTGGCCGCCGTGTATTTCCAGTAAAAGTCCCTGGCTTTGGCCTTCAGGTCGTCAATTTCGTTCATCACAACTGAACAGGGTTCTACTTCCTATCCAAACAGTTTCAAATACTCGCTCGTCAGTGAATGATCTCTCTCTCTCTCTCTCTCTCTCTCTACTACACCTTCCTCTTCACCAGACCCCGGGATTTCTCTGCATGTCCAGCCACGACTGTATCAATGTCGCCTCAGAGTCGTAGCTGAAACGGACGTGTGGCATTATGAAAACGGCAAAGCAAAAACAAGCTGCAACAGCTGGAAACAGCAAGAAAAAATGCGATCCGAAAACTCCACCGATCGACTCTCACACAACAAACACCGCGAAAACGGCACGTAGATGAGAAACGTGCTTTGTACAGGGGTCCTCGACTCACGTTCCGCGTGAATCCCACGTTCCCCGTTATCGGCCATTTTTCGTCACTCACCTTGGCAACAAGCATGTTTACGGCGTGTTTACGTAGTTTTCTACCTAGTCTGTACAAGTTAAAAGTTAAGGAGGCTCCAACCCTTTGGGGGTGATTTTTTTCCTTCATAAACCCCCCTCCTTTTTTTGGATGAGTGTGCTCTGTATCATCCCATGTTGCTCCATAAAAAAATTCAGGGGGTGTTTCCGCGAAGATAAGGCTGTTTGAGGTGTATTTCTAGGGGTGGGTGTATTTATCGATTTCGGCCTGAATTTGCTTGTTTGGGGGTCATATTTCAGACTTACCAGTTGTCTGGCTTCTCTTTGTGATTGCAAGTCCTTTCACACATCACAGTGAAGCGTTTGAGCAAGAAAATCTGGCAATTAGCAGTGACTTCTCAGAAAAATAGCAATTTTGGTACAAAAATGAACTTCGCAGAAATGCCCGTCCGCAAAGTACAATTGGGTGCACAGCTTCATAATTTCTTCATGGACATGCCCTTTTTATTCTATTTTTGGTATCCTCACACTTCATAGAAACTAGAAATATATAAATTTAGGGGAGTTACCGTGCATTTTAGACCTCCAAAAATAGAAATGGGACAGAAAATTGGCCGATTTTCCACCATTCTTGGAATTGCTATTTTTCAGGTAAAGTGATCATTCCATGCATTCCTGGTGGTATTACTCCCATTTTTTGTGTCAAAAGCATTGAATGGTCCCCCAGATTGTTATAGTATACATGGAGACTAGATGAGGCCATGGTTCCTGGGCTTTTAGCCCTTGATCTGGATATCGGCATGATCCATGCACAACGTTATTCATGATCCAGGCCGAGGCCTACTGACCCTGAACGCAGTTCAGACCAGCTTTGCATCACAACTCTTGCAATCGTTCACTCCTAGTATTTCTCATCAAACGCAACAGGCAAAGAGCTTGAGGAGGATAACTATTATTATATTCTGGGCCAATAACTTCACAGTTTCATGTTTGTAGTACATGTACAATGTAGATGCAGGTTCAACTCAATATTGGCAATGAACGACTGCTAGTAATTGTAGCACCCATTAGGTATAATCCTAACACTATTCCCAATACCATGGAACAACCACAAGTGTATGTGGGTGCATGCGCATTGCCCACATTGATACATACATGTACGCTTACATGCACATACTCACACTCACAATCAAGTACCCCTTGCACACACAAATACATGTACGTCATATACGCGCACCCGCAATAGCATACGCCCACATGTAAAATGCATGCTCTTGAGTTTAGTTACCGTATTCTGCTGTCCATGCACTGTGCACGCGTGCGCGCGCATACACACACAACATGTACTGCGCGCGCGTGTGCACACACACACAACATGTAGGCTCACACGCGTGCCTGCGTATGTGCTGCATGCACGGTGCTTATGCCATTATGGGTACAGGTGCATACATTCATCATAATAGGACTGGTGCGAGTAGTGTAGGAATATTTTCAAATCACTGGTGCTGTACAACACAACATTTACAAATACTTCACACTCTGACAATAGGGAATAGTACTGCATAACAACACTCAATTTTCAGTGCTGCATTTTATGCACATTATAATTCAACTGGACGCAGGTGATGACTTACTGCTGGCGACGTTGGCAGCTGACAGGTCACAGCTTTCGTAAATAGTCCAAGTCACTGAGCAGTAGCTCACCAACGATTTACCACTTACTCAAGACTGCAATGTTTTCAGCGTAGCAATATATTTCGCCACTTGAGAATTAGAAGTGGATCCACTTACCAGAGTCTGTGCACCCACTTCAGTCTCTCTCTCCAAAACGCGCTTACAATAGGTTTTGGTCCCTGGTGCTACACAGCCATCGAGACGCTTGGCTCCGTTCTCCTTGGTCATTTTTTCGTCAACCAAAAATATTCAGGATCTCGAGAAATCGAGCTGTGAAGTCAACTTCTTGCTCACACCAGTGATGCTTTTGAAAACATGCCCTGCTCTACCCACTGACACAACGGAAGAGAGAACAACAGGAACCTCGATGGGGCCCAGGGAAGACTCAGGTGAAGAATGAAACAATATTCTCTGATATGACGGTCGATCGCGAAGTTCAAATTTTAGTAAGTTGAGATGGGAATTTCCCAACTTTTCGCACTTATCGGCAAAAACAAGACTTTTGCCTGCAAAAAACAGAGCGCCAGACCGGCTGCGCAGCGCAGAAGGTTGGAGCCTCCTTAAGTTATTTTTCGCCGTGGTTTGCAATCACCCACTCTCTTGGTATTGGCCGGTGTTTCCACCGAGTCTTGAGATGTTGCGATAAATACAATGTACATGTACTCAAGTCTGTGGACAGCAACTGGTTCGCTCTGTTAGAGGTCATCAGCACAGCTCAGAGGACCGAAGCGCAGCTCTTCGCAATGAAATACGTTTCCGTAAAGCAAAGCATTTTTATAAAGAGCTGCAAACCCCGCCAAGAGTGCTCGAAATGCTCCAAGAGCAGTGAGCGTTGCACAAGGCGAGCGGCAATGTACATGTATATAATTAGATAAGTGTAGTATCCCTACCTCTTGATCTGTCACACAATCACACAGCCACATCTCTACCAGTAGTTACTAGTTACATTGTAGTTCACAGGTACATGTACATCTAAGTGCTTCTCACGTGCAACCACTTAGGACTAGATAGCCCTGCTTGCAAGACCTGCACGGCATGACCTATAGCACCCATTCATGCTGTACTATTACATTACATTGATTCCTGTTTAGTCTGTTCTCCATCACTGCCCCTCTTGATCCCTTGCGAGATTCCTTCCCGGTTCTAGGCATCCAACAGCTTTCTTCTCCAAATCCATGTTATTGATCAGCCCTAGCTCACACACATTCAAATGTCTTTCCTTAGATCTTCCAACAGTTGTCTTCCTAGTAATCTTTATGCCACAGTTCCCTACCTGCCATTCACATTCGTTTCCTCCGTACTTTTAGATGTAATTCCTGTTGCATAAGTGTTACTCGCTCCTTAGGTCCATTCTTGCTCCTGCTTTCTTTTGCCCTCACTCCCAGCTGCTCTCGCCCCTGGCCTATATTATAAACTCATCATTCTCTCTCATTTCTGTGTGGAATTGTGAAGTAAAGAGTTGTAAGCCCAAGAGCTTGTTTTCCTCCCGCTAGTGCTGTCAGCTTTCTGATGTACATGTACATGTAAGTCCAAATTGCCTCAAACACGAGCAGGCTGGCAGACACTACATAAGTGGGAGCACTCGTGATTTGACCCAAATCCGCAATTTTCTGCAAATAATTCCGCGAATTCCTGGCAAGTTCCGCATTTTTCTGCACTTTTCGCCGTATGTTTCGTTGTTTCCTGTCGCAATTTCTTACGCAAGTTTGGAGACTTTTTCCCGTAGGGACAGGTTTGGTTTTGGCTGTGTATAACAGTAATATTATCATTCTGGAGAGGAAGAAATAGCGACGACCCGGCCGTTATGTAATCCAATACACCACACCACCACATTGTGCTCTTGGCCGATCCAAACTCTGCACTCACATCACCATCACCACAGCGAGGACAATTCTGGTATATAGATGGATATTGACATTGACCCTCCAGACAGCTGTTTCGCTCCTCCTGAGCTGATCAGTGGAGGCATAATGATGTTGAATGAAAGATTAATAATAATAGACTGATCTTTATAGGGCGAAATTGGCGCAATTGCGCTCATTCTGCATAGAAATGTGGCATACCCTCATTCCCTAATTCTTCACTAGTTTGAGGGAAAGACAAAAAAATATTATCATTATTATGTTTGAATTGTTTGCAGGCAACCTGCCTACATATATATTGTTTAGGCAGAAAATGCTGCCTATTTTGCTAATCATACCCAGAACTGTCTCCAGAAGTGACACATGCCATGGTGAGCACAAGTGTGATATACTGCAGCCAAAAGAGCTGTAAGAGAGGAGAACGGTATGCAGGAGCGTGGTTTGAGCTCATTGATTCTCTCGTGCCATACATAACACAGAATGGGACAATCCCCATAGATCACTATGACTGTGCACTGTAATTGCGAAATTGTTTTGCAACTGAACTTGCACAGCCATGGCACTAATCTAGGATGAGACAGGGCAGAAATTACTGAAGATATTGATAATCACTGAAAGGGCATCTACAGTTGCCAAGCGAATTCAGAACATCGCAAGCGCAACATCTATGAGAAGAAAGAAGTGGGGCCGTAAGAAGAGCAAGTACTGCAGGTTAAATCTTGTCGCTGTATCGGACAGTGGTGTTGAAATTCTTGAGCAAAGCTAGACCATAATCATCAAGCGCCATCTGGACAGAAAAAGAGAAAGGGAAAGAGAATACAAAGAGATAATACTGAGCCTTGTTTTGATAGAGATGTTGGTATGCTTCCAAACTCATGGCAGAGAAACCCACTGAAAGTTTGCTTGAAACTCCGAGGTCCATACACATGGCAGCCTCTCTCAGTAAACCGATGGACTTGTGTTGAGCACATTGCTCTTTAGAGTCTCATTTCCACAATCCAGCATCAAGCACAGTTAAACTTTAACTGTAGACCGCGATAGGAAAGGTTTCTGATAGTGATTTCATGAACAAATTTGAAGCGCAAGTCCAAACTAAACTGCACAAGGCCTAGGAAACGCTTGGCTACCAAAAATTCAAAAATTGAAACTGAAGTTGACATCAGGATTAAGTTTTCTCTCTGTAGCTGTTGTGTTATCCGTACTAAGATCAATATTGTGCAAGGGGTGGGAAATAAAAAATTCATCAACTGCATTTTGAATTAAATTATAGTGGAGTATTATTGGATCCGTTACTAAAGATCGGAACCAAGGGGTTGCCGCTAGTTACAGGTTTACAGTTACAGGTTTTTTAAATACACTGAGCCACCTTACTGGAGATGGGAACACAGAATGGGCAGGAGCAGGAATCGACACGGGGATACTCCAGGTGGTCGGGGCCGCATGGTGAGCAGCCAAATGGGTTGGGAATGCACCTGGCACGACCGCTGATGCAGAAACAGAACTCGCATGTCACGCCCCGGTTGAACCAGAAGCTTACTCTCTGACGAGGACACGTCTCTCCGTCTGCGAGTGGGAAAAGAACACGGAAGAAACATAACAGGATTGAGATACCTTTGATCAAATCGCAGAATTATGTGAGCAGCCTTTGACAGCAGTTTACTTGCAACCCCACTATCTCCACACCTGGCATTAGAGAGGTTTTGCAGAGCGAACGTTCGCAACGATTTTCGCGTTCCGGGTTGCGAAAACTATTGCGAACGGTCGCGTGAAATTTGTGTTTTGCATGTTTTTCGCTCAAAGTAATTTTCGTGTGCTCTCGCTTGTTTGAGAAGTGGTCTTCATCCGATTATTTTGTCCATGGCCGGAGACCCACAGACAAACGGGTTGGCTTGTGCCGTAATCTGGCGCATCAACACCTGAAATTCCAAAAGGCATCGTTGATGTAACCGACTCTGAGCAGTGAGAAGACGAGCAGGCAGGAGATCGGAGATGGTTCCGGAGATGAAGCAACACGGGCTGCCACAAGTATCGGAAAGCTAGCACCCGCGGACCAAGCCAAGAGAAGAGATCAAGCACAAACATGAGGATTGAGGGTGGCTCAACGCACGAACAGTCCACAAAGAGCGAAAATTACTGCGAACGTTTGCATGTTTCTCGCTCCAAAAAAATTTCGCGTGCACTCGCTTGTTTTTGAGAAGTGTTCTCCATCCGATTATTTGTTTCTTGCGAGTGGCGGTACGCGCACAAGGTACCATGAGTCACGGCCTGAGACGAGAGCTCTTTGACTACGTTGTACATGGCCGGAGACCCACAAACGAGCCGGGTTGGCTTGTGTCGTAATCTTGCGCATCAACACCTGAGATTCAAAAAGGCATCATTGATGTAACCGATTCTGAGCAGTGAGAAGACGAGCAAGCAGGAGATCGGAGATGGTTCTGGAGATGAAGCAACACGGGCTGCCACAAGTATCGGAAAGCTAGCACTCGCGGACCAAGCCAAGAGTAGAGATCAAGCACAAACACGAGGAGTCGCTCACCGTGCACCAGGGCCAGGCTGACCAGCTGTCCACAAAGAGCGAAAATTACTGCGAAAGGTTGTTTCGTATTTCTTGCAACTTTTGTGTTCAAAACTGCGAACGTTTGCACGAAGTTTCGCTTTTTGTGACGTCAAACGAAAATTCGCGCAAGCGTTTGCTCTGCAAAACCTCTCTATTGGCACATTTACATGTACTTTCATTTACACTCGTTTTTTTCTCTTATCTTGGAGGTCTAGGGCCAGGTGCTGCCCATAAAGCGTAGTTCACATTAAAAGCAACGCTGATGGTACCAGACGTAAGGGCTTGTCGGGACAGCTGGGGTGAGCTGTGAAATATTGTACAATTCGTACGACACGACATGCTGCAGTTGTTGCGTCGTTCAACAGCGAACGGCCCGAGTCATAACGCACGGTCCGTGACGGCCGTCCACGGGGTGACTTTCGGACCTAATTTATTATTTTTCGGGACTCCTTTTCAATTATTTCTCCTTGAATGATGCTGAATCATTTTCACTGTACAAGTTTTTCATGAAGTCCAAAAAAGCATCCCTGAATGTTGTGCCATTCAAATACTAGCCCCAGGAAACGATGAAACAGTTCGTCTGTCACGCTTCTGACCTATCCCTAATTAGCATAAAATTAATGACAATAGATCTTATCTTGCTGAAATTCAACTCAAGTTGTGTTAGTCATTCTGTGAGTTATCTTGGTAAGTGCCGTGTTCGAAAGCCTAAACAGTTTGAATTACGAATCGCGAGTAGTCGGCACACGACCCCGTCTCCTGTTGACACTCAAGATGCAGCCGTTTTGTGCGCTTGCGTCACTGTCTACGCCCGTGTACGGTATGAACAGTTGAAGTCATCCAACTCTTCTCGTCGCTTCCCGATACGCACGGCAGTACGGTTGCGTTCAGGTTCCTGGTGTTCTCACTGGACGCCGTCAGCCCGTCCCGTTGCTTCCCGTCAATCCTTACGTCGCGTCCCGTCGCGCCCCGTCGAATGTGAACTCAGCTTTACTTGGGAATTTCCGCAACTCTCTCTCTGCTGTATTGTTATTGTATATTCTGATGTGTTCTCCCCTTCTGACGAGTAGGTTGTGTACTTAGTAAAAATTAAAATGAAAAATGAAAAAAAGACCCTAAACCTCGCATATATTGATGGGGAAAACCACAGATCTGGGATGTATGACGTTACTATTTCAACGAAAATGGCCAAAATTGCAATATTCTCTTACTAAAACCCACCTAAAGAGTGCCTTGTAGACTTAGGTGCACGTACATTCGACGTCCTGATTAGAGAGATTTGAGTATATTAAAAAATAACATCAACTCCCAAATCGCAACTACTCGTAGCTGGTCAAGGGTCATTCTGGAAGATTAATTTTAATCGTATCTGGTTAAAAATGTTGAGTCACCTCCACCATTACACTGTGCTCTTTAGCCGACTAGACCCTCCTGCACACAACCATCACCCTTGCGAGGACACTTCCGTAGACGATATTGATAACCTCCTTCAGGCAGCTGTTTCGCTAATACATAGCTCATCAGTGAAGGTAGATGTTGAATGATTAAAGGGGAACTGTCACCAAAACATTTCTTTGTATTATCTTGTAGTTCTTTGGCTCCTGATCACGATGGTGTTATCCGTTTTTCTCTGCGATGGCTGGAAGTGGGTGAAAACTTGAAAAGAAGGTGCCCAAAACTGTCCCGAAGTACCGAGTAACGTCACGCCGGACTTGACCTCCACGCGTACATTCGTCGTCAAAACGAAGTCCAGCCCGTGTGCAGGTCGATCGAGCTAGCTGTTCCAATGTACGGTGTACAGTATTGGTCGTAAGGGAATGTTCTTCTTGTGAATTTTTGGGAGCCCGTACATTCGTGGTCAGCATGTGGTCAGCATACTCAGCATGTCTGGGTCACCGCAATTTAAAACATCCAAGTGGCTATGTGCCATGCTACAACCGGTACTCAACCTCTACAATAGCCACTGCGTCAAAGATACTTTCGAGTTTGTAGAAAAGCTAAAGGACGCAAGCTTTGAATCGAGCGGATTCATGTGCTCGTATGACGTGGTGAGCTTATTTACTAACGTGCCACTACGGGAGACCATTGACATCTGCGCAACAACACTGTACCACAATAAGTCCATTACTCCGCCGTCTTTGAACGAAACGGAGTTTGTGAAACTCATGTTAATGGTTACGTCGGGCGTTGAGTTTTCATTTGGCAACGTTATGTATAAACAAATAGATGGTGTGGCCATGGGCTCGCCGCTTGGTCCTGTATTGGCTAATATCTTTGTAGGGTTCTGTGAAGCGTCCATTAGTCCATCATTGTGGCCCTCTATGTACTGTCGTTTTGTAGACGATGTGTACTGTCACGATGAGGATGAGGATGTCTGTGGGACTTTTCTACTAACTCTGAATAGTCTCCACCCGGCGTTGAGATTCACGTCGGAAGCGGAACAAAACGGCAGCTTATCCTTCTTGGATGTACAAATATCACGGAATATTAACACTAAGAGTTTGGACACCACTATCTATAGGAAGCCAACGTTCACCGGCCTCTACATTCCGTGGGGGAGCTATACTCCAACGAAATCGAAGACACATCTTGTGAAGGCGCTAGTTTATCGTGCACATAGAATATGTTCCCCTCATCTATTGCAGGATGAATTAGACAGACTGACATCAATATTTACGAACAACGGCTATCCAAAGGAATTTCTGGCCAAGCTAATCAACGAAAAACCGGTGACAGACAAGCCTATCCAATTTGGACCTGACCGTTGCCCAGTGGTGCTCCGTTTACCCTGGGTTGGCACCGGTTCTGCGCGCGTGGAGAAGGATGTTCGTGGTATCGTATGTCCATCATATCCGTGCGTCAAGCTGTACGTCATATTTGGGACAGTGCGTGCGTTCAGTGTGAAGAAGGATGTTCTACCTACCCTTAGTAAAAGTAACCTTATCTATTTCTTTCAATGCCGACAATGTGAAGATCGGTATGTAGGTAGAACCCTTCAGCACCTGGGCGCACGCATTCGTCAACATGTGCCGTTAAGTTGTGTTCCGCTTGATGCGCGCGATTGTCGTCCTCGCCGTGGTCGTCCTCCAAAATGTGCTGTCCAGTCCATCGGTGGATCTTCCTCTTCCCGTGAAGATGTGACTGCATGCCCGTCCTCCTCTGCGTGTGTAGGACACGGGCCAGCTGAGAACAGCATAAAAGATGGTGAAAGACCCACACGTAAACCACCGAAACTGACAAAGTATCTGTCGGCGTCGGAAAGGGTGACGAGAAGCCAAGTGAAAATACGGACTGATGAGGACGAACGTACAACGACAACGGAGTTGACAACAACAGTCAATATTCGAAAACGTGGTAGACCGCGAAAACTAACCTCAATATCGGACACCGGACAAGTTGGAGTAAGAAGCTCAATAGAAATCCGCAATGGAGGAGACGTAACGGAAAGGACACCGGGTATCGCGCACCCAACGGTTAGTGTCAAGAAACGTGGAAGGCCGCGGAAACGCGAAGAGACAGATAGTGGTGATGCCACGAAGAGGCGAGATGACGGGACATTGGAGGAGACAACACCCAATGGAGCTAAGAATCGCACTTCGTCAATCAAGCAACATCTGTCAGCCCGTACCAATTGTCGTGAGTTGTACAGTGATAATGTTTTCTCAATATTGTCACGTGGTAGATGTGGGTTACATTTGGCTGTGTTAGAAGCTTTGTATATCCGTAAGTTAGATCCTGAACTTTGCATACAGAAAGAAAATGTGTTGTCGCTACAATTGTTTGGTGTTACTCCTCGTCGAGGTGGTAACAATGTAACTTATTTTGCTCACTATGTTGTTGTCACTATTATTATCTTCCTTCGAGTTTTGTGTCGTGCTAAACTTGATAATTTTCCACCTTGTCACGAGTGTTGTTGTTATCTAATTATCTTTACGCTATATAAGTTTTAGTCTTTCCAGCTTGAGCCATTCCCTGTATAATCCTTGATGAGAAGGGACCGAAAACG